ATTGGGTAGAATTTAAAGCGAAAATTGGAGCAATTTGTGACACAATTGGATCAATCAAGGGCAGAGACGGAGATAGGGGGCAGGGGCGACCCCCCAACATTGTCCGCTGGTCCACTATTCGTAGTTAATTTGTAATGTATTTTTCAGTTTCACCCATCAAAAATTTTGACTCGCCTCCACAAAATTTCGAAATTTTTTTTCCATTAATAAATATTGACCTACCCAATAACTTATACTTTAAAATTCAACCATACAAAAATCTCAAACCTAAACAAAAAATTCAATAGTTACTTAAGTAAATAAATAGCTCAAATCCAATCCACACGCAAATGCCCCATTTATGAATCAATTACCTCTAAGCACACCTACTAACGTTCATGTTTTCAATTTGTATAGCGTTTGACATATAAATGGACATATTTTTTTTGTATCGACAAACTGATTGTCTTTTTGGTCATTTAATCTAACTTGCCTATTTTGGTACTCAAAATCGTCGTTTTCAATCCTCTTAGTTTAAAAAAAAAATTCGGGGGCTCCATCCGCCTTATTTTCACCGCCGCAAGATTGTAATCATGGCTACATCCCTGATCAAGGGTATGCTCATCATCGTTGGGTGTTACTGAGGGATTGTGGGTTGCTAATTTGGTGGGAAAAGAGCTCTGGATTCGATATTCGAAGGAGACGGAACTGCCCCATTTTGTTCCTGAGGCAAACCGTATCAATCGGAGTTATTTTGGATGATGTCTCACCATGAATTGAAGCACTTAGGTGAGGTGAACCAACTGGTAGTGGTGCATGATCGTGGGTGTTACCAGAGTTTTCTAGCGGATGTTGTTTGTCTAATTAATTGTGTGAGATATGTTTGTGGAACGTGGTCACTGACTAGGAGATAAAATTTCTAACGGATTAGGTGGTCGGTGGTAGCTGATTTTTTTTCCTTGTTTCGATTGGGTGGTCGGTTATGGCCGGTGTTTAGGCTGGGATAAGGGGTGGATGGAGGGTGAGGATTTTTATTTTCTAATTTAATTTTTAACTTATTTTAGGGTTAATATGTAAAGTTACCATTTTGTCATTTTTAATTCGATTTGGTTTGGGTGGGTGGGGTGGAAGGTGAGGTCTTTTATGTTCTGTTTTTTTTTTTCTAATTTAATTTTTGTCTTATTTTAGGGATAATATGTAAAGTTATCATTTTGTCCTTTTAAATTTTGATCAAAATTAATCAAATTTTGACTTGTTTGGTCAACTAATGGTCAAGCGGATTGTTTCCATCCATTTGGACATCTTTTGCATATTAATGGAGGGCTAGGGATTTTCATTGATACAAATTGAAGGTTGGGGTAAAATATGCAAAAGTTGAAACAATTAGGGACCACTGCTGCAATTTTCCATAAAAACAACAGAAAATTTTAAAATAATCATTGAATCGACTGATTGACTGATTCTCATCAAAATTCCATTGGTTCTCGACTAAAGCTTGCCAGTTCACCCCCAAACTTATTTATTCTTTTATCATTTCCAATAATTTCAATTTTATTTATCTAATCAATCTTTATAACGAGTTTGATCATAATTCTTTTATCGTTTATCATAATTCCGTATCCAAAGAAATTTTTTGGTTTGAAATTCTAATTTTTCCATTAAATTCCAAAATGTATTTAACTATTTCAAAATTATAATCAATTTGTCCAATTTCAGCAAAATCTAAATATTGACAGATTCCAGTCGATTTTTAAATTTAATTCTTATCATATATAATGTGAGTTTTTCATTAAAATTAATATATTGGTTAACTTTTTGGCCACAAAACTTATATTTTTGCTACAAATACATTCTGTTCTTCGGTTATTTCACGTTATTTAGGGAGATGGATTCAAAGTGAAAGAAATGAAAAGTTAATTCATTTGTTATCAAATGCAATGTGAATTTTTCATTAAAGTTATCGTATTGATTAACTTTTCAGCCGCAAACCTTAAATTTTGCTCCAAAAGCATTCAATTCTTCGGTTATTTCACGTTATTCATGGACAACTATTATAAAATAAAAGAAGTGATGTTGCCTTATCTGTCATGTGCAGTGCTCGACGAGATGTTGGATTTTAGCTAAGAAGTAGGACGGGAAGTGGGAACGTTATTCTTAATAACCCAGGTCGATGAAGTGATTAATGTGCAACAAACAACTAAATTTAAGTGAACAATATGTCATTAAAATAAGTTCGATGACTCAAATGAAATTTTACTAAAAGTTCAATTACTTCTCTTTAATTTTTGCTCTTTAGGTGATTTCTTGTTCCAATAACAATTACTTTACATTGCCACTGTTTATATATGTCTAAACATTTTTTTAGTATACTAGCTACTTTAAATACATTTATTTCAACATTCACTAAAATACACTTATTTTATTTCTATATTCACCAAAATACACATATTTCTATAATCACCACTAGAGTGGTAGGGGTTGGATCGGGTTGGATTAAGTCGATTCGTGTTCGGGTTCAATTAGAAAATTGAATTGATTAGGTTCCAAACCACGGTCCTGAATCAGGTCAAACTGTTTAATATTCAAAAAAAAAAAAAAAAAAAACTTCAAATATTTGAAATATACTCTATACATTTCAGATATTTGAAACATATTCATGTTTTTGTTGTATTTTCTTTGCATTTTTGAAATAGTTTTAGAGTTGAGGTTTGTCTAATCAATATCAAACATGTCAAAAATTATAAATCAAATTGATAAAATTCAATTTTGAGCACGACCATGACGGCCTTTCATGACATGTTACGGGTCAAGCAATGGCTAGCCATGCTCCTATGTTTAGCTAATAATTTAGTCGAATGTCTATTTTTTTCCGTTTTCTCAACTGTATAAATTGCACAAGTTGAGTCAAACCGAAGCATGTCGATCATCTCGTGCGTTTTGACATTGAGGTTCCAAATGTATTTTCATGACCTATTTTTAAAATTTACATTGTTGAAACAATTTTTAATCACTAATTAATTTTTAATTTTTAATGTAAATTATAAAATAAAATAAACAAAAGATCAAGAGATAATTATTAAATAATTGTTTTTAAGTTTACAGAAATTATAAAATATAGGGTAATTGACGCAAAACGTCCCTACCTTTGAAGGTTTTTGTGGAAAACGTCCTTACCTTTCGTTTTTTAACGCAAAACGTCTCTATCTTTCACATTCTTTGCACTGAACGTCATTTTCACCAATTTTTAACATAAAATGACCAATATACCCTCCTATATAAATAAAACAAAAAAGAAAAGAAAAATAAATAATAAATTGCAATTTGCTCCTAAACTTTTTTTAAAATGCAAATCAGTCTAAAACTTATGAAAATATTATAAATAACAAAAACACACTCTCTCTTCTCCACCACCTCCATCGTCTGATGACCACATCTAATCTTCTCCACAACCACAATCTCTGGACATTGGTACCAACATAATCTCCTCAACACCCTTTGCAATTCTATCCCAAGAATTCCCCATATCATCCAATAATCCGGCAAAATTCAGCAAGCAAAATCAGCTACTCGAAAAAGTGGACAAATTGCTGGAAATCGCACCTTCGGCCAGCAATAGGATCGCGGACCACCATCATCCGATTGCCCACACCCAGACGACCTCAGCCATGTGGGCAATTCATCCAAAACATTTATCCAATAGGTTCAATTTGAAACTGAAAATAACGCAGTCGCGACTATTGCGTCGTGCACTGAACTTGGCTGATTGCGGCGTCGTCCCTTTGACCCATGGTCGCGAACCAATCCATTCAGCACCCTCCCATCATGGCGAAGCTATTCCACCCGTTGGTATTCCACAATTTTGCCGGATTCGTTAGAATTTCAGGTCGAAATCTAATTACAATTTTTGGAACATAATATTTCTCCCACGAATTGAACGGCTTCAGGTCGAAATTGACCTAGACCCATGGTTGGGCTATGTGCGCCTGGTGAAGAGGGACCTAGCCTAGGTGGTCCGCGACCATGGGTGTTCAAGACAGCGCCGAAATTTGAGAAGTTCGCAGGCTGTGTCGCGACTGGCAAAGAATCTGGCATGAAATTTTTATTTTTTTTTTGTTGATATTTGTTGTAAATTGTTGGCATGGGTGTGGTCGTTTGGTGATAAGCAATTGATAGGAGGTGAGTTTCGATCATGGGGGTGGCCGGAATGTAATTTCCGACGATTTTTAGATTTGAGGATAGTGAGCTTTCAGCATTAATTCCGACCACTACAGTTGATGAAATCGGGAGTGGTTGGGTGGTAATTGAAGGGGGAATTGGAGGGCTGTTGACCGGTGTCAACGTCCGAAGGCTTGGGTGGCCAAAGGTCGCCGAAATTTGGACGCATTTGGACTGAAAAAAGGTAAAAAATCATCACTTTTTTTGGATTGATTTGCATTTTAAAAAAAGTTTATGAGCAGATTGCAATTGATTCTTTATTTTTCTTTTCTTTTCTTTTTTGTTTTATTTATATAGGAGGATATAACGGTCATTTTATGTTAAAATTGGTAAAAAGGACGTTCAGAACAAAGAATGTGAAATGTATGGATGTTCTGCGTCAAAAAACGAAAGATACGAACGTTTTTCACAAAAATAGGGACGTCTTGCCGCAATTACCCTATAATTTATATATAAAAAGGTCCAGACAGTGGAACTCGCACTCCCACATAAACACACACTAGATTCCTCACTCTCTCTCTCTCTCTCCCCCATCATCTACATTTCCGATCACCGGTGAACTCGCCAGAATTCCACTCCCGGACAAAACCATTAATAAACACAGCGATTCTGCTCCATCTGAATTCATTCGATCTCTCATAAACATTTACAGAAACAATTTATACAATTCAATGCCAATTTCTCTTTGCATGGCTCGGGGTTTTTCACTATTCCTGCTTAGTTTCACGATTGACACAGATACACACACATAAAACTCAAACACATTTCCACACATACAGATACGCATCAATAAATACAGTGAGAAGATGCCAGTGTTCGATGCGGCGTTCGTGAACAGCGAACTCTCGAAGAAGACATCGATCTTCGGGCTGCATCTATGGGCGGTCATAGGAATAGTCGTCGGAGTAGTTATAGTCCTCATCCTATTCCTTTTCTCTCTGTGCATTACCGCTTCGCGCCGCCGCAGCAGCAAGCATAAACTCCACCGCCCGGCGAAGCTCTTCGGCGCCTGCGAGCACACCCCCGTCGTCTCCAAGGAAATCCAGGAGATCGTACATGACGTTGCCCCCGATCACCGCCCCATCGTACCTCAGGCACGATTTATTTACGCTTTTAGACTGCATCTAAAATTTCAAGATCTCATTTTCACCGGAAATAATTATTTTAATTTATTAGTTATTTTATTTTGTTATAATAAATTCGTTGATGGTAAATCGAGTTTTAGGGCAGTCAGAGCAAGGGTAAACTTGTTTGGTCCATTTGCTGCAGTATTTGTACTTTTTAATACTGGATTATTGGTAAATCTAGTATGCTAGCTATGATAAAGCTGCTATGGAATTTATTGCTTTATGTGAAGATGAGCAATGTTTTGAGTACATTTAATTTCCATTTTAAATTGTGAAAGGTCTATTATCATATGAGAAATTTTTTTATTGTACTTTACACAATCTGGATTATGCCCAAACTCTTCATCAACATCAATATTCTATTTTTATGTTCTTTCGTTTTCTTGAATTTTTCAGGCAGTGCCGGAGATACAGATAGATATGGGGAAGATGGAGCACAGGGTAGTGTTTTCTGATAGGGGTGCATCGAGTGGCGAGAGCCGGGCGACGAGTGGGGCTGATACCGGGTCATTTGGAGGTAGTGGGGCATTGCCAGAGGTGTCACATTTGGGGTGGGGAAGGTGGTACACTTTGAGAGAGCTTGAGGCAGCTACCAANGGATATGATTTAGTGGTTATCTGATGGAAAATTTGTAAATAAGGTTGGCTCTCTCATAATGTGGAGGTGGTGGTCTAAATTCACCTGGATCATGGTTTCATTAATATGGATTATGAAGTCCCTAAAAATGTAGAAATTTAATTCTGTCTATTTTTGGGTTTGTTCTTTTTTGGAAGAGTCATTGCAGTGACATCCTTTCATATTAAATGAAGTTTAAATTTTAATTTTTCAATTTATGTTGGATTTTAACTGTAAGAAATGTTGGTCAGAATTGGTTCATTCATATGTCATGTGGTTGTTGAAATATGATGGTGTTGAGTGCAGAACACTTTTAGACACTAAATTGATTTCCATGCCTCTATTCCTTGCTTCATAATGTGGGAAACTTTTCACCTTTTTGACTCAAAATTCTGGAAGATTTGTTTGTCCAACATTGGAATACATTATTCTCCTTCTACTAATATGCTTAAACTCATGCCACCGACACATATTTCAGAGGCCAAGCCGAGAAAGAGTTTAAGGTGGAGGTAGAAGCGATTGGACGTGTCAGACACAAGAATCTTGTACGGTTGCTAGGTTACTGTGTTGAAGGAGCTTACAGGTATTGATATTCGCCTCTACGAATGTTCCTTCTGATTTTGTTTGTCAAAAAGTTGAATCTTTTCTTTTGTCATCATTTATATGTTTTCATGTGTAGGATGCTTGTCTATGAATACGTGGATAATGGAAATTTGGACCAGTGGCTGCATGGAGATGTAGGCAAAGTCAGCCCTTTGACATGGGAGATTCGTGTGAACATAATATTAGGAACTGCAAAGGGGTATGCTAACTTGATGCCTTCGTTTTTTCACGCTCTTGTATGGCATGACTTTTGCTTATTTTTGTATTTTCATTGTTCCAGTTTGGCCTATCTCCACGAGGGTCTGGAACCAAAGGTTGTTCACCGTGACATAAAAGCGAGCAACATACTGCTCGACCGCCAGTGGAATGCCAAGTTATCAGATTTTGGGCTTGCTAAACTTTTGAATTCGGAAAGCAGTTATGTGACTACTCGAGTGATGGGAACATTTGGGTTAGTACATTTCATTGCATGAACATAATTATTTTGATAAATATCCTTGTACAGAATTAAGTTTCTATAGAAATTGGTTGGGAAACTGACCAAACTTTATTGTTTCACTAGTTATGTTGCACCAGAATATGCTTGTACTGGTATGCTCAATGAGAAGAGTGATATTTATAGCTTTGGGATATTTATCATGGAGATAATTACTGGGAGATCCCCTGTTGATAATAGTCGGCCACAGGGAGAGGTTAGTCTTAGCACGTTAAATTTTATTAATCCTAGTTGGTGAGTACCTTGATTATTTGTATCAATCACAATTACAAATGATGACAGGTCAATCTGGTTGACTGGTTGAAGATGATGGTCGGAAACCGGAAATCTGAGGAAGTCGTGGATCCTAAGTTGCCCGAAAGGCCTGCATCAAAAGCACTGAAACGTGTTATTTTGGTTGCCCTTCGATGTGTTGATCCTGACGCCCAGAAGAGGCCCAAAATGGGCCACATAATACACATGCTGGAGGCCGAGGACTTGACATCTCGTGATGTATGCCTATAATTCTTTTTTTCTCCGTGTAACCTGCAACCTCGAAATTTACTTAAATATGTCATTCTTCTCTTATAAGTTATAAGTCACTTAAAGTTCTACGTATTGCAGGAACGACGAGTTGGCAGAGAATCTTCCAGTTCCCATCAAGAAGATAAGCAGGCTGGCCCAAAGTTGGTCGATAAACCAAGTGGTGACGGTACCTCTGATGCTAGTGAAGGGGATGGTAGTAGGAACCATAATTTTCCAGCAAGGTGGTAATATAGCTTTTGAATTTATTGACTGATATATTATTCGAAGTTTTGCAAAATTTTGCTGCTTATTTATAAATGAAATTGCTATTATTTATCAGTTAGTTGTTGTCTGTATCATTTGTAAATTTGAATAATATATTTATCGTTCTTATAGAAATCACAGTAAATTGATTTGGCCTTCCTATAAGCGTTAAATAAGTTAATTTGGCAGCACATTTTTTTATTTCCTCCATGCCCTGTGATTTCAGATTTTTTGCATCTTTAATTTTGGTTGTTCCATGCTCATGGCATCAAGAATAGCAAAGGACTCTTTGTACAAAAACCACTGAGCCCACTAATCAGAAAACATTAATCCTATGTCCAGTATTTATACATCGTCCCGTGGGATGGTAAGTGGCCCAAGTATTCTAACACACGCCTTTGATATGTGTTGCACTCACGTCCCACTCATGCATCTTAGGGCCCAATTTATAAACGCTGGTTGTTAGATAGAAATACCCTCAGTAACTTGTTAAGATATACTTACGCGGAAGGTATTTAGCGTCACTTGGTATAGGTGTCTCCATCGTGCATCTTATGGCCGTGAGCACTGGGTGTAGGTCTAATTTGATAAGATAGACATTTACAGAATGTATTTACCATTTAGCATCGCATCTTACGACCCAGTGTATAAACAACACTGAGCATGCGTACGTTGGGATTAGAGTTGTCCCCAACTAACGTGTTAAGATAGAAGTGCAGAATTTATTTAGTATTACTTGGTAAAGGTAAAAGGTGTCTCCGTTGAGCATCTTATGGCCCAGTGTATGAACTACACTGGGCGTGCATAGGATAGGATTAGAGTTCTCCAACTAACGTGTTATGGTAGAAGTACAGGGAATTTATTAGCACAACTTACATTTGAAGCCTTGGAGGTTTATGCTAGTGGCCCTTTTGGACAGCTTTTTCATATTCAACGTTGTCTCTGTGTTAATAATTCTCATCTTTGATTGCTTTATGTTAAGCTAAGCATCCAGACTCCAGTCTTGTTCCAGATAGGAACTGGGACATAGTATTCATTTATTTCACTATCAATGCCGGCTTTTACTATTCTGACAAGGATTGCAGCCAGAATTTGGTGACAACAATGATGTGGCGAGTTGTGATTTGCCTGTTTTTTTTTTTTTTTTAAATCCATCTTCCAATGATTTGGTGATAAGTGTTGTTTGTTACCAAACCCTGTCAAATATCCCTGTCACAGTAGCATCAATGCCAGGACACTAGTTTATCTATGGTGTACTGTAGGGACATGTGATTTGATTGAGGCAAAAACAAGCTGGCAATTGGATTTATTAGGGAAAGCTATATTTGTGTTCAGCTGGCAAATGGATGTATTAGGCAATAAATAAATTATCCTCCTCACTATTGATGTTTTTAAAACTGGCTCGAACTTTGACCCTAGCAAGATAAGGGTCGATGGTCAAAAGGTTGAATCGAAGGCAAACGCATTTCGATTCTCCTAACTTTTCGAGTGAACCTACTAATTCTGAACTTAGCCCCTATTTGCTGGCCATTTGTTTGAAAAAAATATTGTTTTGAATCGTGATTTTTTCAAAAAATGTGTGGTTAAAAAGTGGGAAATAATTTTGGATTTATTTGTAGAAAATTTTATTGTGTAATTGAAAATGAGTGTACAGAAATAAGAGGTCGAAAGAACGTGCGACAAATAGGTGCTTATTTTGATTGTTTTTTATTTTTTACATGTAACTAGAACAGTCATCGATAGTTGAATTGTCCAATAATCTCAAGTTGTTATAACACAATCTTTATAATTAGATGGTGGTGTTCAACCATGGGCGTGAATTCAAGTTTTAAGGGCCCTCGACTATGACATGTTTTGCTTGTAAGATTTCTGATCAAACAGATGAATCCGACTTGCTAGGTGTTGATAGTGTAAATTTAGACAAAAAAATTAAAATTTTGGATTGGTCGTTCATCGTACTTCTCTTGCTAACAAGGAAAATTATTAAATTAGTTGGGCACATTTATGGTGAATGACCGATCAAAAATTTATGTAGGAATTTTTAAAATTATTTAAATGTAACACATGCGTATTGTCTCTTCAACATCTCTTCGTCGTTGAAATTCTGGCTCTACTACTGATATTAAGGCTATGTTTGATAGTCATGGTTTTCCATTTTCCATATTTTGGCTTGTTTGATAGTCATGTTTTGCCATGAAATTTTTTTGCTTACTTTACTCCATACGTGCACATTTTCATGGAAATTGTGGAATTAGTTTTCCCATCATTTTGGTGGGAAAATGGAATTCCAGTTTTTTTTTTTTGGCAATTGGAACGAATTTTATAACTAATTGTAAAAAAAATTCATTTTAATGAACAATTTTCATATAAAATAAAATCAAACATGAACAAAAATATTTTTTAAGAAAATCTTTTTCCTATAAAACATTTTCTTTCCACCATTGCAATCAAACAGACCCTAAATTTTTTTAGATCCCAATTCATAATTAAGTGCTTTTAGGCTTTAGCCCCTATTATTTCACATTATAATAAGACGAATAATAATTTTTCTAAGAAAAAGTGTAGTTAAAAAAGAAAAAAAAAATTGAGTTTATTTGTAATATTATTTTATTGAAAAATATATTATTGATAAAAAGAGAGAAAAAAATGAATTATAATAATGTAAACAAATTTTATAACCAACTGTGGAAAAAATTATCACTTTAATTGATAATTTCCATGTACAATAAAGTCAAACGAATACAAAATTTAAAAATTTTTCGGGTGGAAAATTATACCAATCAAACACGCTTAATTAACTATTCCCTGAAAAACAAGTTTTAGGCAATTATTTTTTCTAGAATTCATTTTATTTTCACTTATTTTCCACATTTGCAATCAAACGGATTCTAAGTGACTCTACAATTTTGCCATTTTCTAAAAAGGACAGTGCATTTTACATGATCGAGTTTAATGACGAAACTTGACAGAAATCACCTTTGGGGACGGAATCTACTAGTTTATGAACGGTTATGACGAGATTGAGACGAAAAAAGGTTAAGATCAAGATTGGTACATTAAGCAAAAGTTGGATACCAAATGTGCAATTTATTCTAGTGAAAAGCAAAAGTTGGATACCAAATGTGCAATTTGTCCGAGTGAAAAGGCCAAAGTTGAGGAATCTAATGCACGAGTAACACTTACTTTGAAACCTACCCATTTTGTCCAAAAATATAAAGTGGTCTAGAGGCTTCTTCACCCTTAGATCGTGCAAGACTTTTGTCAGCCATACGATGCTTTTTGACCAAAAGGAAATGTCCTTTACGTCCATTAATGGGCAAGAAAATTCAGAGATTGAAAAAATACGTAATGGAACTATTGTTGAACGAAGCAAAATATTTTTCCAAATCCGTACTGTAAAAAAAAAATAACAAAAAAAAAAAAAAGACATAAATATGGGGTTCCTATCCTATCCTATCCTATCCTACACAATAAAAAGAGTGAGTTTGTGGACACTATTCATAAGCCACAAAGCCAAGCAAGCTATTTTTTTATTTTTTTGTAATAGCCGAATCAAATGGCTCGGCTAGTTTATTTTATTGATTCAGTATTTTAAGTTATAGTTATTCGTTTTACACGATTTAAAATTTATTGGAAATGTTGAAGTACGGTTATGATAAATATATGATCGATAAATTTTAAATATCAAAATTTGAACTGCAGCCATGATAAATATATGATCGATAAATTTTAAATATCAAAAATAATTTTACATTAAAAGGTTGAAAGAAAATGAATTTCAGGGAAATAAATTGCCTAAAAATTGATTTGCAGTAAATTGTTAAT